ACAACAACCCGAAAAAAAAATTAACAAAGAAGCATAATCCTGTGTCTTTAGCAAGTTACTAATCTATTCTGTCAATCCTCCATTTATACTCCTTAAAAGAATAATCCATACTTGCTGTATCCATTTTTTGGATCTATTAACTATTGACCCTTTTTGGCTATTTTATTAATCTACCCAAGACATTTGTTAATGTCAGAAACTCTCTTCTTTGTCCTTTTACTTTCTTTGTTGCTCTCCTAAATTGCTTCTGACTGCTGTTTTTCAGCTTCCCTTATGGTACCTATTCCATTGACTGTTTCTTAAATCTTCCTTGGGGTTATGCTTTCCGTACTTTACTTGGGTGCTGTCATGTGCCAGTGGCTTCAACTACAAAATCTACGTCTTCCGCTAAGCCTTCTCTCCTGAGCTTCATTTTATTCATTTATCCATTGAGTATTAATAAGGTATCTACTTTATAGAGTTCTGAACACTATGGGGGCTTTTGGTAGGCAGACTCTAAAATGGCCCTTAATGATCCCTGCCTCATGTTATTCACACACTTTTGTAATTCCTTCCCTTGAATGTAGGCTTCTAATGAATAGAATACAGCAAAAGTGATGAGATGTCACTTCTGAGGTTAGGTTACAAAAAGGCTCGGACTTCCGTCTTGCTCACCCTCTATCATCCACTCTTGGTTCTCTCTCACTCTCTTTCTCGGCGCTCTCATTCTGGAGGAAGCAAGCCGTGTTGTGAGTAGCCTTATGGAAAAGCCCACGTGGTAAGGAACTGATGTTCCCAGCCAAGAGCTAGCAAAGACTTGAGGCCGGCCAGCAGCCATTTAAGTGAGAATGGAAGCAGATCCTCTCACAGTTGAGTCTTGAGATAAATGCAGTCTTGATGGATAACTCGATAGCAGCACTGTGAGAGACTCTGAGTCAGGGGCACCCAGCTAATTTGAACCTGGATTCCTCACCCACCGAAATTGTGAGATAATAAATATTCATGGTTTTAAGTCACTAAGCTAGAGGTAATTTGTTTCACAGCAATAGATAACTAATAACAGGGCTACTCAGGACCCAAAGTCAAATAAGAAATGGCCCTGAGCTTAACAATCTTTTAGTCCATTAGGGGTGATAGAAAAGTGGCCATGATCACAGTACAATATGTGTTACAGAAGTTTGCACAGCAAATGACAGCAGCACAGAGAGAAGAAAATTTCAAACATACTTGGAGGTGGAAGGATTCATTCAGCAGATTTTATTTTGTCGCTGAATGAGGGGGGCTGAGTCATTTGATGAAAATGAGGAAAAAGAGATGGTAGGATAGAGACCTGAGGAGAAAATGAATTTTAGAATCTCTTTCTGGGAAGAATAGCTGAAAAGTTAGGAAAGAAACACATAATGGTTTCTAGGCAGTGTGGAGAATCTAGTTGGGGTTAGAGATCATGGATTTACAGTGTCTTCAATCTGAGGTTGGGGCATATTTTTTAAATGCTCTCATCAATCTGGGTAAAGGATTAGAGAAGTTGGTGATTAAATTTGGGATTTCAGAGAAAATGGAACAGAAAAGCAACACACCAAGGAAGAAGAAAAGCTGAGAAAAACAGTAAGACAATTCTTGCAATGCTGGCTCATAAAATTTAGTTTGAGTAGGAAAAGAAGAGACAACTGAAGTTGTTGAAAGTTTTGGGGGAAGTGTAAGCATTCCTGACCCACCAATCACTAGAGCTAAAGGAGTCGATGCTGTATTTGGTTTGGCCTAGGTCATGCACTCCATTCCTCAGTTGAAATAGACTTACAGTTGAGGGTGGTAGAGGAGTGGTTACCCAGAAGTAAATCCAGGTATGTTACTATGAAAAGAGTGAGTGGATGTTATAGCAGAGGCCACTGGTTCCCTCCCACTCCCACTGTTGTCTCCTCCTCTTCCATGGGATTTTTGGGGTGGGATAGGTGGGAGGATAGCAAGTGGATTTCCTGATCTCTCTTGTAGCTAGGGATGGCCATATGACTGTGAGCTGGTCAATGGGATGTGGACAGAAGGGGTGTGTGCAATTTCTGGAACTGTGCCCTTAAAGGGAAGGGAATATTGTTCCATTTCCCTTTATATCCCTTTCTTTGAGCCAACTTTGACCACGAGGAAGAGATTACATCCTATGGAGAGCAGAGAAACATCCCTGGATGATTTCATGGAACCTTCATATCAGCCCTGGCCCTACATGAGGAATAATTAAAATTCTACATTTTCAAGCCACTGTTAATGTGAGTCTCCATTATTAGCAGAAAGACCTATATTCCAACTAATTTAGCTATTCACTAAAAAATATAAGCTGGGAATATAAATAAACATAGCATAAGACAGAAAGTAGTAAACGATAAACAGAGGTACAGGTAAAAATTAATGATACTGAAAAGAGTAACCTCAAGCCAGGTTGTGAGCTTTCATAACAGGTTAAGATTGCCGACCAGTGACAGACTCCAGATTGTCCATTGGTTATGGAGAGTAGGCCAGGGAATGTGCCTCTACAGCCAATTCTTCCAGGCAGGCAGACAGCAGTGGCTCTAGAAAACAACAGCAATGGGAGCATGGTAGGGACAACCAGCCCATGCATCAAACTCACTCAAACAACATTTTAGCCATGGTATACTTACTTGCAGTGAGCCCTGGTGGCTTCAGTGGTTAAGTGCTCGGCTGCTACCAAAAGGTCAGCAGTTTGAACCCACCAGCCGCTCTGCGGGAGAAAGATGTGGCAGCCTGCTTCTGTAAATATTAAAAACTGCCATCGAGTCTGACTCATAGCAACTCTATAGGACAAAGAAGAACTGCCCCATAGGGTTTCCAAGGCTGTAAATCTTTATAGAAGCAGACTGCCACATCTTTCTCCCACAGAGTAGCTGGTGGGTTCAAACCACCGACCCTTCGATTATCAGCTGAGCACTTAACCATTGGCCTATACAATAGGAAAAAAATCACAAAGTTTAGTAAAGCAAAAAGAAAGTTTTATTTGGCATATATTCAAGAAGGCAAAATTGGGAAGCAGACAAGCATACCACCAGAGCTAATGTCTGCCTGAATCCAAGGAAATATTACAGAATAGACAAAAGTGGGAAAACAGACAAGCATGCTACTAGAGTCATGTCTGCCCGAGTCCGAGGAAATATTACAGAATAAGCAAAAGTGGGAAAACAGACAAGCATGCTGCCACAGACTTGTCTGTCCAAGTCTAATGAACATTACAGAACCATCAGTATATATTAATGTTATAAATGGGCAAAACCATTGAAAGCTTTTTACAAATTGGCTAGAAACTGTGATCCTACATTTTGAATCGTCTTTCTTAACAATCGTTGGTACCAGTTTCAGTAATGACAGTCAGGAGGGTCATTTGTCCAACAAATTTCTATTCACTAAATGCTAATAGAAAAAGATAAGAGTGGAAGGTTTTTTGTGTTCTGTTTGATTGGCTTATGTGAAAGGTTCCCTAAAAGATATTTTCCAAGATTATCCTAGCTATTGTCCTTGTATCTCAGGGCCCAGTTGATGTGTCCTTGTGAGTCCTTGTGAGCCCAGGTGCAGCTGGGTCAGATTCTCTATGCTCAAGGACAGAGAATAATGATTCCAATATTATTTTGTAAATCAGCTACCAGGGCTCCTTCCTGTAAAGATTACAGCCTTGGAAACCCTGTAGGGAAGTTCTACTCTGTCCTATATGGTTCTATGAGTCTGAATCTAATCAATGGCAATGGGTTTGGTTTTTGGTTTTATATTTATGTGCACTGGTGCTCTTGATTATAATAATCATAGAAACTTAGAAATTTAAGGATTGAAAAAATCCTAGCGAAAAGAGAAACCTTCTGCTCCAATCCGTTCTTTTTTTTTTCATAAGTCCAAAAAGGCTGAGGCAGTTCTACGCATAGACAGTAAAGCTCCCAGGCCAGTGAGGGTTGAGAGCTTGTACTCAATTTGTAAGAAATCCTGTGAGGCTTTTTGGTTCTTTTTTTTTTTTTTCATTCAGCACAATTATAACCCCAGGTTGCTTTTTGCATGCCCACTTTTCTTTTTTAAGAACATAACTTCCATTAGTACAGCAATTTTTAGCTTTTATAATACTTTCACACATTTTCATATTTAATGTTGACAATAATGCTGTGCAGTGATTATTGGAGCTCAGCCTCTTCAAGAGACCTTCCCATAGTGCTGTTACCCATCATCTGCTGGTTTTCCTGTTACTTCTAGGTTCTCTGACTGTTATTGAGGAAAAACACGTGTTTCATTATGAAATCAGAGCAAACCTCAAACAAATTATTCAGGGTCCTTTTGAACTGCACTGTTCAATACGTAGCCACTCACCACATGTAGCTTTTTATTCTTAAATTAATTAAAATTTAAAACTTAGTGCCTCAATCACACCAGCCACATCTCAACTGCTCAGCGGCCACTTGTGGCCAGCGGCTACTGAATTGGACAGCGCAGATATAAAGCAATTCTATCAAGACAGAAAGTTCTATTGGAAGAGCTGGGAGACTTAAGAGAGTATGTATCTCTCTTCCACCAATACTCAATCTTGTCCTGAAGCTGCGTATAATCCAAGACCAAAAACTGGTGGTCCTTGAACTCCTCTACTGCCTAAAGGAGATTTTAAAACTGGTGGTGCCAAGACAAATCGCTTGGCTTAGTCCTGCTACGGTCACGTGGTAATGAAAGTGCAAGATTCTTCCACAAAACTCAGTACAGCAAGCTGAACGAAGGAAGCTCGACTCCGGCCAGCTACTTTAACGGACCTTCAACCAGATTTGGACGTGGAGGGCGGAGGAAAGACAAAAGGGCGGGGCCGAGCGCGGGGCGGTCGGGGCGGGCGCCGTC